AGCCCAGGCTGACCTCGAACTCACAACGATCCTCCTGCCTCAGCCTCCCAAGTGCTGGGATTACAGGTGTGCGCCACCACGCCCAGCATGAGTAGTCCTAAGAGTGGGGACCAAACAGCAAGTGGAAGGGATGCGACCAGATGCTGTAAGAGGGAACGATAAGAGAATAACTTGTGCATTTGATAATGAATAGATGTGACTGTCTAACACAAATGTTTATATTTCAATATATTGTGTTGTAACAAACATACTTCATGCACTAGAGTGAAATAAAATATTTTCACAATTTTGGTGCTTACAATTTAATCACGTGGAACATGCTTTAACTGTCCTTTTTATTGTCACTCCTGTCTCATAAGTCTTCAGTTAGTATTTGATTTAACGGAAACTTTCTGAAGCCTAACCCGCAAGAGGTCATGACTTGGGCAAAGAATTTATGGGACAAAAATCACTGACACTGTCGCCAGTGCATTAGGAGCAGGGTCCATGGACAAGCGCGCTCATTTAAGGAGAGCGCTATTGCTGAAATAGAGATGAGGGCCATCGGGACTTAGTGTTACCGGAGATGTTCTAGATGACATGACTGTGTTTAAGTGTAGATGTTTGTACGCGAATGTAGTTTTTGTACATGAATAAATAATACACGTAGACTGTTGTACATTTAAAAAAAAGACAGCCCATGAAAATAAGTCTTATTGTGTCTTTGGGAGCAAAACGTAATACAAGACGTGGCCTTAGTTTTCAGGGAAATACCGTATGTATGGCTTTCTCCTTTCAAGGCAGAGTCAAGTAGCTGGGACGCTGCGTGCTCCAGCTCACACTGCACGCTCACCCCCTTGGTTGCTAGTCTTTTTTTTTTGAGACAGGGTCTCCCTATGCAGTTCAGGCTGGTCTTGAGCTCACTTTGTAGCCCAGGCTGGCCTCGAACTCGCAAAGATCCTCCTGTCTCAGCCTCCAGAGTGCTGGGATTACAGGCGTGCGCCACCACGTCCGGCGGTTGCTCGTCTTTGCAGCGGGAAGGCTCCGCAGGTGGGGCACGGGAGGGATCGCCAAGCACCCGGTCCAGGACGCGGGCGTGCCCGGATGCGCACCGAGGTGTCCCGACGCAGGGACTTTACCTCCCGGTACACAAACCGCGGTAAATAAAGCTGAACCAGCCTGCGCCAGGGCCACCTGGCCCTCTCCACTTCCCACGCGCGGAGGCGCGGATACAAGGAATGAGCCCTCCCGTCTAAACCCTCTCTGAAGGCTCGCGGGGTGCAGCCCCGGCCCAAGCGCCTGCGGGGCTTCCCGAGGCCGGAGCACGCGGCGCCCAGGCCAGGGCAGGAGCCAGGGCAGGAGCCTAGGCGCTCCCGCTCTTAATTTTCCCGTCCAGAACTCCGGGCGCGGCCCCGTGCGACGCCCACGCTCCCGGCAGCGGACCAGCGAACCGGTGCCCTTCTCTGCCTGCACCTCGCGGAAAAATTGCGTCCCGGCCTGCCGCAAGCCATTGCCCCGCGGCCGCTCCACGCACGCGAAGCCCCGGGCGAGCGAGGACAGCACGGCGGCTCGGGACGGCCGACGGCCCCGCGCACGCGCACAGCGGGAGGCCGCTCCGCAGGCTCCCGGAGCTGTCGCCCAGGAAGGGCGAGCGCGTGGCGTTCGGAAGCTGCGCAGGCGCCGTGCTCTCGGCCCGCCCCGGTGTTTGCGCGCGCGCGGGGGGCAGGCGCCGCGTCTTTTCTTCAGTCCCGCCCTCCTCGTCTACCTCTGCGAGCAGAGGCCGGGAAAGAGAGCGGCGAAGAGTGGGGCGAAGTGGGCGGGGAGTCGCACGGGAGCGCGCGGGCAAAAGAAGGGAGGGGAGGACAAGATCGAGGCAACGTTACCCCGTTAACACCCAATCAGGAGCAGGCCCGACCCCGCCCCTTCCTCTCACGCTATTGGCTGGGAGGCCCCCGGGTGGGTGGGGCCGGCGCGGGGTTGGGGCGGGCAGGGGGCGGGGAGCGGGAGGAAGGCGCTGGCGGGCAGTGATGGCGGCGGGTGATGGGGACGTGAAGCTAGGCACCCTGGGGAGTGGCGGCGAGAGCAGCAGCGACGGCAGCAGCGGGAGCCCGGGCGGCGCGGGAG